AAGATCAGAGGGTTTAGGGTTTAGGATTTTGGGGCTTAGGGTTTATAATAGGGTTTAGGGTTTAGGGTTTAACTGCGGGGATTTGGGGTATTGCTTGCAGGTTCGGGGTTGGCGTTGGGGATATGGGTTGAAGGATTAGGTGTTGTCGGACTGGCACAACCGACCCTAAGCCCTGAGGCCGCAAACCCCAAACCCAAAGCCCTAAGACTTTTAACCCCAAGCCCCTATATGCCCTAAGACCGTAAACCCCAAACCCTAAGCCCTAAGACCCTAAACCCCCAGACCCTAAGCCCCTAAGCGCTAAACTGCCCTAAACCCCAAACCCCTAAGCTCTAAGACCCTAATGTAGGAGCCTTAATAATTAGAATGGTGTGTGTGATAACATAGTATAGGACATTATTAAGGCCTCCATAATAAACCCTCATATCATTTGGCTTTCGGGCCGTCTGGGCTTTACAGAGCCTCAGGGCCTTCGGCCTCCGCGCTGGCAACCTGAGTGGGAAACGTCATCTGTGGCTTTTCGGGTCTTAAAGTTGATAGTTGTTGTTTTTAGCCTGTTTGCGTCTGATGGAGCATCCCTCAGCCAGACAAAGTTTAGGGTTTAGGGTTTAGGGTTTAGGGTTTCTCCATTAGGGTATAGGGTTTTATATTGGGGCTTTTAGGGCTTTTCTTTGCGAGGGTTTAGGTTTATGGAGTTTATGGGGTCTCGCCATGGTATTACACAAAAAGGTATGTACAAATTCCACCATCCTTAACCACCTCGTTTCTACCTGCGGGCCCTATCTCGTTCCTCAAGTAGCGTCAGCAAAACCCGTATTGCAATGTCCGCATGTCGTCTTAACACGAGAAGACTAAATGACCGCGGTCGCTCATGTCGGGACTGCTTCAAGGCCAACTAAAGTTTGTACTATGAGCACATGGACCCTCAGGGATGTGTTTAGCCTGAACCTTCAACCTCAACAGTCCTCGACCCTTGAAAAGGGCTAATGAAGCGTTCATTCGCAGAAAGCTTTCTGTTTTCCGGATTTCAACCGTCGCCGCATAGACTGACAAGAAGATCAAACCTCAACTTGAAAACGGCGCGAGCTCTGCTCAGCCTCTTATGCAAGCTATAGGCATCCGGAGTTTAAGCCCCCTAAACCCTAAACCCTAAACTGCTCAGGGTGCAGGGTAAGGCAATAGGGGATACGAGACAGAGTTAAACTCTAAGCAACCCCAGCTTGTCTATTTCGGGCTTAGGGTTAGGGTTTAGGATTATACGGTTTAGGGTTTAGGGTGTAGGACTATAGGGTTTAGGGTTTGGGATTATGGGATTTAGGATTTAGGGTTTAGGTTTTATGGGGGGTGGGGCTGTTGATGAAGCAGTCTTTTTACGGCTGAGACTTGAAGATGGCACGGCAGGTTTCGGTTGAAGCCGTTTGAGAACCAGGACGCGGCAGCTTCTGCAAAGAATGCAGGATTCACGGCCACGAGGAAACTAGCAACACAAACCTGTCCCAGCAACCTTGGCCCCTAAACCCTGTAGTGTTTAGGATTCAAGGATTAGGGTTTATGCACCCAAACCCTATAGGCCACTAAACCCTATACCATACTGTAGTGCTCAGGGTTTAGGGTTTAGGGGGTTTAAGCACCCAAACCAGAAACTACAAGCAGTAGAGCACGGTCCGGGCCGTAAGGTCTCTCGGGTCTAGGGCAGCGAGGGGTAATGTGGGAACCTGATTAAACAACCCTCTGTATTAGGGTTCTTAATATGGGAGTTTCCGAAAACAAGGGGACCTTATTTAGGGGTCCTTATAATAAGGATCCTACTATTTAGGGTGCTATATTAGGGTCCCCTATTTTCGGAAACCCCCATATGAACCCTCATATATTTGGGGGTGTAGGGCCAGGGTCTCTTAATCAGGTTCCTACATTGTCAAGGTTTGAATAAGGCCCCTCAATCCAATCCAAACCCAAGCCCCAGAAACCCCGCACTTCGGCAAAGAAGGGTGAAGTTAAGAGATTACAAGGTCTAGGGTTTAGGGTTTACAGGGTATAGGGTTCAGGGGTTAGGGTAGGCCCTGAGCTCTAAATGCTAAACAGCCTTTTCTTCTTGCCGATTCAGCATTCCTAAACCCCATATCGTCAAGCAGCAAACGCGTGAAAATCAGGCGAGTCCACTTTGCCCTCGTCCTGCATAGGCCCACAAAGCGGAGGCAGCAAAGCCAATCGCCCGGACGGCCTAGTAAGCCTAATGTAAGGACCTGAACCATTCATTAGAGCGGGTTTAGAGGGGGTCGAACGACTCTGACCCGCAAACTATCAAGTCTGTTATTTGCGCTAAGCAGGAATGTCACAATATAATGTGGCACGGATTTGTTGTCACATGTTGTGCTCAGCCCGGCGGGAAGCGTGGCAGATTTCAACCGACAGAATATAAACGACCTCTAGTATCCTCGAAACCTAAACCCGAAACTCTGCAGCCCTACACTCTAAAACTCTGAACATCGACCGTGGCCGACCGACAACCAACCCGGAATACCTGAACGCTGAACTGAACTTCTGGACGAAAGCATGATTTGAAAACTGGACGTAGCCAGGAACCTGTCAGATCAAACTCTCAGCTTGTTGCGACTGTTTTGCTCCAGGCTCACGGAGCCTTAAAGCAGATCATATATGCATATATCTATCTCTCTATATATATACATATATATATATATACACACGCATGTATACACATATACACATACAAACATATATATATATATATGTATGTATGTATACATACATTTATTGTCTTTTGCTCGACCCAACTCTTACAACACAGCAAGGCTGCGGATTGAGATTTTAGCTGGCCCTCGTTGCGGTGCTTGCTTGGCTGGGATCCTAGTTCAGGAGACAATATAGGGTTTATGGTTTAGGGTTTAGGGTTTATGGCTTAGGGTATAGGGTTTATGGCTTTGGGGATAGGGTTTATGGCTTAGGGTATAGGGTTTATGGCTTAGGGTATAGGGTTTATGGCTTAGGGTATAGGGGTTATGGCTAAGGGTTTAGGGTTTTTTGGTTTTGGGTTTCGGGTTTTTTGGTTTAGGGTTTAGGGGTCAAGACATCCTGGGAAACACGTGAAACGGAACCATATGGGTAATTCTCTAGATTAGGGTCCCTTTTTAGGTCCCCAATATAGTACGGCACCCTTATAAAAAGGACCCTAAAAGGGACCCTACTTTTGAAAACTACCCATATGTTGCTCATGGCCGCAGACCTGCAACACCCCTGACAACAATGTCACACGAAACCCTACATGCCCAAACGAGCCACGGGCTCGTTCTTCGTTTCGCAACATGTAGTGCGAAAAAGAGTCCCGTCTCGTATTGTTGCTCCGAAAACTCTTACAGAACTCCCCTACACCCTAAGCCCTAAAACCCTCCACCCTTAAAATCCTAAAAGATTTAGCCGTATAAACCCCAAACTCCTAAACCCTAAACCCTATAAGCCCTAAAATCCCCAAAACCCCGCAGCCGGCCTGCATCACGCGGCGAAAGAATCGCAAGCCCTGGGCATAGCGCCAGCGCAACTGCCAGGGCTCCCCTGGGCTAGAAGGCTGCCTTAAGGATTGTGCTATAACGGTTTAGGGTTTAAGGGCTTAGGGTTTAAGGGTTTAGGGGGTTAGGGGTTTTAGGGTTTAGGGTCTAGGGGTGACCGGTTTAGGGTGCAGGCCTTATCATAAGTGTACTTCGCTATTATAACCCATAACCCTATATTGAGGCAGGGAACAGTATTAGCAATTATCCAGATTTAGGTAATCCCTACATGAGTACATCAAGGCCAAAGCATATACGGAAAAGGTGCAGGGACCCTTGAACCCTAGAGCCTTATAGAATATGAAGACCCTTAAAATGGTGACCCTTCTGGCTACATGGAGCCTTGGGGTTAGGAGTTAGGGGTCCCTAAACCCTAAACCCCTAA